TTGACTATCTTCTGGTAAGGCTGTTTCGTACGGACGATTACTCCTCCAACCTTTTAATCGCAGAAGACACTTCTATAATCCTTGCCTCTATAGTAGAGCCTTCTTCCACAAGTTCTACTAAAGTCTTTGACATTGTCGTGGTAGTTGATCCTGAAGCATACATATATGATGATGAATTGATCAAGAAAATAGAAGATATGGGGAAGTTTGGGCTTTGTGGATACCAGTGCAAGGGAAGATAGCTTTATATTCACAAGAGGAATCTACCGGTGCGATTAAAGCTGCCCGGCTACTCCCCAAAGCCATAGAAGTCCTAAAACAGAAGTTGGACGCAGTGCGCCTTTCTGAGGATGCTACAGAAGCCAATAATTGAGAAATTTATGTAGGTCCTAAAGAGTGCATTCCTCCCTCCTCGAAGAAAATTCAGTGTGCAGGCCTGCCCGATGACGATGAAGGCCATTGAGAAGACAGCCCATGGTGGAAATCCCCTCACTAGTCTCGTAAGGAGATTGAATTAAAGCAACTTTGGGTGCCATTGAGGACTTTGAGAGGGGAAAAGTTGGAATTAAGGAGGGAAGGATTGAAGAACTGAGAAGGCAAGAATGTACTGGAATTTCTGAGAATTTGAAGGCTTGAAATGGTTAAGGTGCATTGCTGAAGAGGTTAAGTAAGGATTATATAATAGGTGGTTACTTAACAGTGGAGTTCCTGGGTTAGTGCAAAGGTTTTGTTAACCAACGGTTGCTTTAAATGGTGCGAGCCCCAAGTGAAGGCATGCGACGGTTGTTAATGTGTGACGATTATTTAATCATTATTAGTGCCTGGGATTGTAGCCTCAACAATGATTAAAGGGGGCACTGTTTAGGTTAATATTTGAACATTGGGCTGCAAATGTATGGAAGCCTAGAGATACCAATTAAAGGGAGACTTGCCCGAGGCCCAAGCATCAAGCCCAGAGATATATTGGCGCATTCCCATTAATACATAGGCCATGTGCCTATGATTTGAACGTCAAGTGATGGGGACTAACTCACAATCAGCCAAAAAGCACTTTTCAATGGCAATACAAGTAAAAAGTTGATGACTCACTACCCTCTAAGTGCTTTCGGGCAAGAGCAAAGTCACTGGAGTCGGGCTAATCTGCTTATAAAAGGAGGAAGAAGCCCTAGAGACAAGGACACTCAACCAATCAAACAAACAAACATACAAACTCTCCTCTCAAGCCAGATTTGGATCCAAAAGCTGTAATTCGCCCAGATCTCAGCCATTTTTAGGATATCTCCCTTACAAAAGCTATCTTTTATCTAGTTTAAAGCTCTGTTATCACCCCTAGTGGTGTACTATCGATTCTCTTATGTAAACTGGCTTACCATCCATCCCCTTTTTAGCATAGAAACCTCTGTAAACTCAAAGAGAAGTGATTGCAAGAAGTTCAACCTTACCCGACAAGGTGAAATCTTACTTAAAGTTCTTTGTGTGTTTTCTAAGATAATAGATTTACTGCTTAATGTATTATCCAACATGTATTCAAGTCATATCCATTTATGTTCCTACTTTAAGAGTCTCATTTGCATCTGGATTTAGTCAGCTTAATGGCTATGCTTTCATTTAAAACCAATCAAGAACCAAACAAATGACTTAAAGGATCTGGACTCCCATTATTCGAAATATACAAGACTATGAACTAAAAGTCCTTGGTCAGAAGGCAAGAAAAAGAACTTAATGTGGATTAAAACCCATCCACGATAATCCTTTGATAATAAGAAGTCCGAGTAACTTGGGGCACAAGTAATCGACTAAACACAATCTTGTTCTACATCTGCTATACTGAGATAACATTGGCACGCCTAGCACTTGGTTAGTTTTTATTGCGAGCCTCAAGGCCTACACCTAAGGCCCTATAAAGGCACATTTCAAAACTAACTTTGTCCTATTCTTGCAGCACATCAGCAAGTAAGAGCCCGACTACACCTCCAAAGTGCCAATCCCTTGGGGAGATGTGCTGAGAGCTGAGGAGCCCTCTCCCGAGAAATCTTCGCTCGAGCACACTCCAATCCCCAAAATCGAAAAATAAGAAATCTTCAACATCCACAAGCAACCACAACAAAGATCTAAACCACAAAACAAAGGAAGTCAACGGGAAATTACATGGCAACAGAGCCAAGAACGGCAAACACAAGGAAGGTAGTGGTATGTGTACCTAAGTCGGAGCTCTACACAACCTCCAATAAAGTCACGAAACACTATGAAAGAGGTGGTTGCAGATTGGGAAAATCGTGGAAAGGAGGGATGAGAAATAGGTCTTTTCGATCTTGGGCTAGGAGCGGTTAAATCAAAGGCAGGGAGATTTGGAGAACGAAGAAAATTGGGTTGAAAAACATGGGGAAAAACAGGCAGACAAAGACGGAAGGAAAGGAAAATAAGAAGGAAAAAGGACTGCCACTAACCTTTGCTAAGGCAAGGGCCGACAGCTAAACTACTTGATGGAATTTGAAAGCTCACACGAGTAGTGAGAAAGACTCTCACAAAACGGAGAGAAAGGCTCTAATGAGGAGAGAAGAGAAAATTAAATTGGGTTATATTTAAATCATTTGAACTATCATATTTATCATAATTTAAGTTAATTTATCTATTTCAATGTACGAAACTTACACTCAATATAACGAAAAAATTCACCAACTTTGACAATTGGTTAAAAAAAAATGTAGAAGCTTACAACATCTCTAAAAATTAGCTTCGATAGATTCTTTCATATATTGATGAAATAAATTAGTACATTACATGTTATAATATAAATAAATAAAATAATTTGAAAAAAAAATTGAAGAGAATACATTCATTTTTGGGGCGTTTTGATATAGACCCTTCATTTTTAGGCTTCTTAGATTAAACATCTATTCATTTTAACAATTTGATTAAACATTCTCCTACAATTTTGGGACCATGTGTATTTTAATTAACCCATTGTAATGTAGCTAAATTACATAATTTGCTATAGCCTTTAACATACGTGTTTCCCGTATCCAGTTTCTTCACGCCAAACTGCACGCAAGGCTCCTAGATTCTTGCTAACTAATGTCTTAGAGTTTTAATCCAAGTAGAATACTAATTGTTGAATATAAGAAGGATATTAACAATGTTATTTATCTCTAGTGAATTCAATTTTCCAGCGGCACTTTCTTCCTTCCTATGAACGTACCATAAGTTTCAGAAGCCTTCTTTCCGCACTAAGGTCGACGTTGGTATTCAGGTTCTAGTTATTGATTTTTATTCAAATTATCAGTTGGATGCGTTGATTTTGATTATCTTTTGAAGTCGAAGGTTTTTGATCTTTTTGTGTGTTGGCTATGATTTGGTTGTTGCACTTAGGTTGGGCATTGCACTTAAGAGACTAGCCTCGTATCCCTGCTGTATCGCATAATTCCTTCGGTACCTTTCAAAAATTGCCGCCCACGCCACAGATAGGATTGAAACCGCCAGGCCTATCCCCACTCTCTGAAGCTGAGAAGCACCGTGGGGATGGCCAGTGATGCGCCTGGACAGCGGGACTAATATAGAGTAGTAGAGGGACTGTATGAGAAAGATACTGAGGCGAGGAAACACTAGGAAACACTAAGTTTCAGAAGCCTTTCTTTCCTAATCCAAGAATTGAATGAATCGGCACATTTCACCGTACTTGCCAAAAAAATAAAAGTCAATCAAAACACTGCATAAGCCTAACATTATGTTGTTCCGTAACCAAGATTTCATACCAACTGCATAATCCTAACATTATGTAGATCGCAATTTTTAATTGGTAGCTTTTGGTACGTTTGCAGCCTAGGATTTATGAGCCGTGTAGTGTGCTATATATATGATTCGTGTGGACATTTGGCAGCTTAGAATATATATATATATATATATATATATATAATGGTACAAATTATTTGACTAAAAATATTTCAGGTACATCGTGGCACGTTATACAGTATGTATTTGTAATGTACCAGGTATTTGGTATGTTACGTAATGTTACATTGACTCATATTGATAGTTTGATTCATAAAATAATATTAAATTAGATCATTCCAGGCGTTTGGTGCGTAAAGTTTTTTATTTTTGAAACGTATCTGTCTGGAAAAACGTTATACAATGTGTATTTGTAATGTACCAGGTGTTTGGTATGTTACTTAATGTTACACTGACTCATATTGATAGTTTGATTCATGAAATAATATTAAATTAGATAATTCCAGGCATTTGGTACCTAAAGTTTTTTATTTTTGAAACGTATCCTTCTGGAAAAACGTTACACAATGTGTATTTGTAATGTACCAGGTGTTTGGTACGTTACTTAATGTTACACTAACTCATATTGATAGTTTGATTCATGAAATAATATTAAATTAGATCATTCCAGGCGTTTGGTATGTATAGTTTTTTTATATTTGAAACGTATCGGTTTGGAAAAACGTTATACAATATGTGTTTGTAATGTACCAGGAGTTTGATACGTTACTTAATGTTACACTGACTCATATTGATCGTTTGGTTTAGAAAATAATATTAAATCAGATCATTTCAGGCGTTTGGTACATAAAGCTTTTTATTTTTGAAACATAAGAAGCTACCGAAGTGTTGGTGTATATTGACATATTAATGATCAATTGGTATTAAACTATCAACTAATAGGTACGTTAATGAGCATTATATTGACATATTAATACGATAAGTTTGAACTATTGTAAATTACCATGTAATTTACTGAGCGATATAGATAATATTGATTATCAAATGGTTCCCTAATATATGAGTTTTTGGGATATTGAGAATATTTTGAAGATGAGCTGTCTTTCAAAAGTGTATGATAACTGATCACATACAACATTGAGTATGAAAGATAAGCGTTTATAATGGTAAGATAAAAAAATATAATGATTTATTACCAAAAACATAATATTGGGCAAAATCAAAAGGGTGCTGAGCAAATTAAAAAAAAAGAAGATAGATATGATTGATAATCAAAAGGGCGCTGAGCAAGTGTTCTTATTGTGGTGTCCAAGCTTCTTGCACCTCCCACACTTCATTGGTCTTGATTCTTCCCCATTAGACTTAATCCTCTTAACCCTTGGTTTGCCGGGTTGTTTTCTTGTCACTGGAGGCTTGATGACAAAATCCTTCACTATATCAAGTGGGGGTTGATGGATGTCAGGAATCGGTTCAATTGGAAAAGAATATGAAGACTTACAGTAATCAGCTGTGAAATAGTCTTCAATGTAATCATAAGGATTGCCATCGTTGTGCATGATAGCTGCAACTGCGTGTGAGCAAGGGAAACCTTTAATCTGCCACTGACAACATGAACAATACCATTTTTCCAAGTCCACCATTACCGAGTCATCGCTACGTACTTCAAATACAAACTCGCTTGACCGGCTAATGTGCCAATGTCTTCCCACCTCCATTAACTTATCCAACTGGTTCTCTATTTCGGGGCATAAATAAGAGTTCCATTTCTCTGCAGCAATACGTCTCTCAACATTCATCACCATCAATTTAACTCTTATGCTTTCTACCAATTGGAATATTGGTAATAATCGTTCTTTCCTAATCCAAGAATTGAATGACTCGGCAACATTTGACCACATCTCACCGTACCTGCCAAAAAAAAAAAAATGTCAATCAAATCACTGCATAATCCTAACATTATGTTGTTCCATAACCAAGATTTCATACCAACTGAAAACTCCTAAAAATATACTGTTCAATGAAAGCATAATACGAGAAGGAATAAAATTGAGGAAAAGGAATAGTGGTAGGACGGCAAGTCTTAAACCAAATCATGTACACAAGCACCTCTTCATTAAATAGTTCTCTTTGGGCAAATCCTCCAAAAATTTGTCAATTAGTCCACCACCCTTTTTTCTCAAAATCTGCAGGTTTACGTCGAACACTTCTGGAGTGGATGAATAAGCACAGTTCTTGAATAATTGGACCATTGTCTTTCGAAACTTTTTCCCAAAGCCAATGGGATATGTTTTCTTAATATTCTTTTCTATGTGGTAAATACAAAATCCATGTGGAGAAGTAGGGAAAACATTTGCCACAGATTGAAGCAATCCTTTGTGCCGGCCCGATATGAATGTAATGGTACGTTCATCTTCAGATAATACGGCAGATAAGTTCATCAAAAACCAAGTCCAGTTAGCCTCATCTTCAGCATCAACCAAAGCAAATGCAAGAGGGAAAAAACCTATACAAATGAAAAATATAACAGAATTAATACAGCATGATGTTAATTAAAAAATATAACAGAATTAATACAGCATGATGTTAATTAACATACAAAAAGAAATACTAGTATTTAAGCATAAACCAGAAGAAATACAAGCAAATAGAGCATTAAGCAGCAAACGCACAACAAAATAATCAATCCCAATCCCTTTTCGAACCCAGACTAAAATCGATGAAACACACAACAAGATAATTATCTGAAAACCTTCTGAACGTACCACAGACAGCAAGGTCGACATTGTAGAGAATCTCGATAAAACCTTCTAAACATAACAGCCTCAGGCATTCGAAAATAAAGAATAAGTCTAATTATCTCACATGATATCAATATAAAATAACGAAAATAACTACTAAGTGAAATGGATAAGTCCATTCAAAATTCAAATATGAGATCACAAAATTCAAACGTGGAAGAAGAATTCTGGAAACACAAACCAGCGGCACATCCTTAAAAAAAGGCCACGTACAGAAATACGGTTTAGGAATATATTAGGCCAAAAGAATATATATGGAATTTAATAATTAACATTCTAAATTAAAAAATACATGTTATTTAAATAAATACTAGCCTCTCTGCACGCACTAACGTGCGTGCGAGAGGCATTTTTGCATCACGGGCGCTACGCGCCCCTAAAGGTGTATTGTGTTAGTTTTTCCCATTGTAATTGTCAAGATATACTTTAAATGTATTGTGCAAAGAGGAACTTTTTTTTTTATCATGCACGTCCTAAAAAGTTATCATGTTTTTCATTTTTACTTTGTGTAAAGTAATGATTTAAATGTTATTCATGCACTTATCAAACAACATACGATTTTAGATGCAAGTTCCTACCTAAAGCCTATGAACGATAGCAAGTATATGTAAATAAATAAAAAATAGTAGATGAAAACAGTAAGTACTCGTAGCAAAATACAAAACAATTTAAATGTCAAAATATAAATCCTACATAATAATATGTACATTATTCACAATACTCATAGAGTGTATATGTCACTATTTCTTTTGAAAAGAAAGTTTACATATTGACATCAATGCTGCAATTTCCACCCATTTGTTCATGATTGATGCTTCAAATTTTCATTGCCAATCTACAAACGATAGTGAGAAAATTAAAAATCAAATAAAAAGAGTTAATTGATAAGTGAGAAATGCATACTGAAAGGCTATCGTTAATAAAGCTGTTACCTATTAGGAATCACCATAATTAGCTGGAATGAAGCAAGACTTCTTTGTATACTACATTCCGTGTAAATACACCTTGTTGGCCTACTATGGAGCCACTTTTTACTAACACGGTTGTGGTTGACTTTGAGACCCCCCTCGATAAAGCCACATATAATTGTCCATGGCTGAAGACATGATCTGGAAGGTAAACGCCTACATGTGGTATTGTCTGACCTTGAGATTTGTTTATAGTGATAGAGAAACTTAGTTTCACTGGAAATTGCTTTCTTGTAAGTTCAAATGGAAGCCCAGCAGTATCAGTACTTTTGAGAGGGATTCTTGGTAAGAAAACTCTGGATCCGGCAAATTGTCCAGTTAGAATTTCAGCATCAATAAGATTTCGGTAAGAACCACGACACAATAATCTTGTACCATTACACAATCCCAATTTCGGATCAATATTTCTTAAAAGCATGATTGGAGCACCTCTTTTCAGAGTTAACTTGTGCGGAGGCAAACCACCAAGTGAGATTGAATTCAAGAACTCTGGCTGATACAAATTCCTTGCGTCATCCTCAACTGAATCAAATGAATACATTGTCTCTTCTAAACCCGGAAACATATTGATTATCTTTTCATTCAACATATCAACGTCTTCATTTGTAGGAGTTACCACTGCCCTTTCCACCATGTAGGTTGCATCATTTATATGATCCTCTAAGTCAGGGAAGATTTTGGCAATTAATTGATTAATGGAATGCTCACTCTCCCATGGTATCACCATGCATTCAGGTAGTTTTACCATATCATCCATAATAACATCTTCATTCCCATCACCAACACGAAGTAAAAATTCTGAAAATTCACAATCATTTATGGATCTCATGTTTTGTTTGAGTTTTAAAATCTTTACTTGTGACCAAAATGATGCCTTAACAACACTTGCTTGGATTAGTTCGGACTTGGTTCCTTTCCGGATAACAGGAAGAACTTGTCGAAAATCTCCCCCAAATATCATTATCTTCCCCCCAAATGGTAAGTCAATATCTGTTAAGTCTCTGAACGTTCGATCGAGTGCTTCAAATGCATGACGATGCGTCATTGTTGCTTCATCCCAAATAATTGCCTTTGCCTTTTGTATTAGCTTTGCTAAATCAGATTGTTTACCGATCGAACACATCGATGATGCATCGAGACTAAGTGGTATCTTGAATTTAGAATGTACTGTCCTCCCACCAGGCAATATCGTAGCTGCTATTCCAGATGATGTTGTTGCTAATACTATGTGCCCCAACCTTCTCAAGCTTGCTAACAATGCGCGATATAAGTAAGTTTTTCCAGTTCCACCGGGACCATCCACAAAAAAAGTTGCATTATCCGATGTTGAATTGCACCCATTATTATGTTAAACGCACTTTTTTGGTCATCATTTAAGCGTTCAATTGCATCAAGATCTTGTTGTGGAATACATATGGATATTTCATCTTCAATACATCCGGTCATTCCTGAACTTGATTCATTTCCTCTTGTCATTTGGGGCAAATCAAACTCGTTTATACTCTTGTTAAATTGAACCAAAAGTATGTTCAACTCACGCAAGAGTATGTTGGTAGCAAGTGTGGGAGTTATGTTAGTCATGGAAACATAATCTTCCATCATGAATGGACAGAACTCATCCCATAACCCTCGAACACCAATTGGTGCACAATATACCAATATGGTGACGAATAATCTTCTTAAAGCCGACGGCATCTGAATTGTGGAGGCCTCTAACAAACATTGTCGAATACTGTCATCTCTTTCTAACAAACCTCGTTGTTCTGCTGCCTGCTTAAATGTTGGATGCAAAACCCCATTAACTGTTCTCAAGTTTGTGAAGGATGTTGGTCCTCTAACATGATTAAGAAGAATTCGAAGGTAAAATTTTTCGCCTTCAGCAGGTGAAACTGCATATATTCGCCCAATAACTTTGTTACGATTCTTTCTTTTATACCACTTTCTTTGAGCTTGAATCCATCTGTAATGTGATGGTATCTCCATGTATAAATAATGTCGCGCTTCTGCATCCACATGATTAAGTGTAAAAAATTCAGTCAACATTGTCTTTCTTGTACTCTCATCATGTAGAATATTTGTTATGCTTTCATCGGCACGAAACTGAACTTGGTGCATATTAGGAAGATGTATTTGCATTCGCTCAACAGATGGATAAATTCGATTAATAATGAACTTGAATATTTTCCATAATGCCTCTGGTGCGCAAACCCATCTTGCATCCTGAAACTGCTTTATTTCATCGTATTGAGGGTCTGATTGCACTTCAACTGTCACTCTGTCTGGGCCTTTGTAAACATACTTATATAAGTACTTGACACTTTTTATGCTTGCGCAAATTTCGACATTGATGTGACAATCATACCTTAACAGCAACCATGGATTATATGGAATGATCCAACTATTATCAACCATTATGTTTCCTTGTCGATTAAGTGAGACGGGCAATCGATTTCCTCGCCTTTGATAAATTGGATACGAATCATTCCCTTGAACGGTGACTGGTGCAAATGGTTTGGGAAACTTTCTCTTACAACTCCCATTTTTCATACATGGAGATAGAGGATTATGAATCCCACACGGGCCATGAATCATATGCTTTAACACCACATTATAAAGTTGAGGCTCTACATCTTCATTTGGTATTTCAGCTCTAACAATTCGGTCATACTCATCTGGGTTATTGATCTTATCATTTTCATCTAACACAACCAGCATATGCACATGTGGAAGACCACGTTTCTGAAACTCAATAACGTATGCGTAAGCAACAACACTGCCCAATACCCCCTTTTCAATGATGTCTTCTTTTAGTTGCTCAAGTTTTGCACGAAATACTCTAGTGAGTAAGTCAGGGCGATCTTGTGGAGTTTGTCCAGCGAGTAATTCGCTTTTGATTTCTTCCCAACTTGGGTTACATGTCATGGTAATAAAAAGATCTGGCTTTCCGAATCTTTGAACCAAAGTCATTGCGTCTTGATATCGTTGGTACATGTCACGTGGGCTTCCAACAAATGATGATGGTAAAATAATTCTACGCCCGATGCTACCTAATAATATTTTATTTTCAATTAGCTATATATATTGTACACACTTTAAACAAAGTTATATTTCTAAATAACGATGACTGAAACGATATATATACCTGCATTGTGTTGACCTGCATTTAGAGAGTCTTCAAGTCCTTTGTAGAGATCCGCTCTAACTGTGGCTTGATTAGAACGCAACCATCTAAGTTTTTGTGATTCAATTTTAATGTAGTTATCTACAGCATATTGTTGCAAGAGACGTCCACCTCGAAGCAAAAGTGATGATCCATTATGGCGTATCTACAAAAGCAAATTTCATATATTGCTTTTAATATAGGAATCATAATTCATCTATATGTACCGGGAAATAAATTATGTTATGAGTACAAACCTGTAACATATAAGCATAATAGTCGCAACATGTTATTGCTCTTCCACCATCATCACGACTGTTAACATCCCATCCATATGTACCGTAAGGCAGCAATAGTGGATATTGTAAGGGATCATAAAATCCAACATAGTCTCGGACGTGAGAAAGTCTTCCACTAATTGTCTCCACCACGATATCCCTTCCATTTGCAATTGTGGCATTATCTCCATCTATTATAATTGCCGCAACTTGTGATGCTGATGGTAGACTATACTGACGCCGATCTATTGGTTGCTCTTTTAGGATCAACTTGCAATTCGGCAAATCTTGGCGTTGTCCGAGGCTTCGCAATGTATGAACAAAAGGATTATGGTTGTTCAACATATGTTGTATCTTTTCAACCACACGTCTATCTAAAACTTCACTTTCACACATTCGGTTTTCAACTTCATGCTCAGTGTCATATATATAAGCTTGTAAAAATCGCGGTCTGTTCCCTTCATTTGGTAAAAGTCCACCAATCTTATGATATAATGCACCTTGAGCACGAAATGTGTAAATCCCACGACCACCAATATTAATTCTTTCATCCACGTGTACTCCCATTGAAGTGAATGCAAATGCATGATTGTAAGCTCGAATATTTTGCCTGAAGTGTCTACCCTCATTTGTTTGGTCAGAGAAAAGAGCAACCATTTCTGGTGGGGATTGTATTGGGGGTAAAACAATTCTTCCTTTCAAGCAACACATATTCAAAGTTTCTCGAGCAAACAATCGTGCATAGCAGTACGGACATGTGGTTGGAGCAGATAATTGGCAACCTAGGATACCCCGATTCTCATTATAATTTCTAGCACACAATTGTGGTTTCTTCTTCCTCTGGTTTGGCGCACATGACAATTGGTTCTATTTGCATGTTCTTCTTCTGATATTTTTACATGAATATCCAACATTCAGTATAAGAATTTTCTTTGTAACTAATCACATATCTATATAAAGATAAAATTATATACTAAGCTCACCATTGTGGGGAGGAATTGAGAGCATCCCATAAGATATTTGTGACCTATTTGAATGTGCCAACTGTCCCATATGAGTACGAATTCTAGTAGAAGTTTGGTCATCATGATTTGTGATATCTGACAAAACCCTTGAATTCGCGCTTTCATGCTCAATTTGTTCTAATAAATAGACCACATTATAATACGATTAGTTAAAAATTTTGTCTTTAATATTTAATATATTTAGTTGTGAGTCTAATATTTTGTAAGACTACCACTAAAAATAACTACAACATGGAGATCAATATGAAAGTATCGAAGAAAAGAATACAATGAGATTTCAATTCACTAATTTTTGTTCTTAAAAAATAACCTAATTTTTTAAGTGTGAAACAAATACAAATAAAGAAATTGAAATAAATACCAGGAATTTGTTGTTCTATATTACTGGGGTCGACCTCAACATCATAGTTAGCCAACTGAACCCGTTCTTGTATATTATTGGGACCTACTTGTTGCATAGTTAAAAGAAAAATTAGAAATTAGATTTGTTTTTTTTTTTTTTTGCATTAGTATGAGTTAAAGAAAAAGGAATATGAAATAAATACCAGGAATTTCTTGTTGTATGTTACTGGGGGATGTCATAGTATGATCATCATATAGAGTTGGAATTTGTTGTCTTTTTTCTTGTGCTATTAGACGTCGTCGAGCTAGATATCTTTGATGTTCTTCAGGACTCAATGATTGACGCCATTGTCTTGCACGACTTTGGCCACGCTCCATGGAAAAATTTATCTAAAAAATTTAAAAATAAATGAACCTAAATTGAATACAAATTCTATGACATTCCATAAATACGAAAAAGTCTACGTAGATGCCTATGAACAGAAGAAGAAAAAACATTTATCTACACATCACTATAATACAAAAGAACAAAATAAAATGATCACAAAATACTTTTGAAGTGTAATAAGTATTAGTGCAAGGAAATGACGGGCTTATATGCACTTCTCGGTTCGTGTTAGGACTTGGATATGATTTAGCTTTCATGTTTTTTTCTTTTATAAATTAGCATTGTTTATAAAGTTTTAATTTTTATGTCAACTGGATGAGTAGAATTTTAAACTTTTTTAATACCCCTAAACCCTATCATAAATGACGGATGTGGGTTGGACATAATATAAAAAGTTTTTAGAAATGTGTAACCCGTAATAAGAGGCTAAAAAACTACCACATGACAAAGAAGAATTTGTATTCAATGTAGGTTCATTATATTTATTAGTTTGCTCTAATAACTCAACAATGCACATATAAGCTCTAAAATGTTATGATATCCTTAAAATTTTAGTAATTTTGGTTTCTTAGGTATTATGTTTATTAGTAATTTTGGTTCATTAGTTTAAGGATATGATCTTCAATAATTTGTGATCAACACAGCTTAAGAAATTTTGGGGTGCTTTGTTGGTCGTTGGGGTGCAAATGGGGATGGGATGATTTGGTTCAAATGGATTAAAAAAAAAAAAAAAAAAAAACAATGCATGCACGCAAGGTTCCTTAACAAAATCATAATTATGAATAACTGTTATGATATTCAAAATCCTTCTCGAACCCCGCTGGTGTTTAGGGATGATTTTGGACTACATGGATATTTGAGATTACGAAGAAGATTATGAATAACTAAACATCGGTCAAAATTTTTTTTGTTAGAGGACAGCAATTGTTCATAATTGGTTTGATCTTGGACATAATAACAATTACGAATATTTCTTTTCTTCACATTATCTTCTCGAATTGGGGTTCAACATTAGAAGTTATTTTCTCAAGTCTCAACATTAAGCAAAATGAAGAAAACAAAATGCCAAAAGCAAAAAGCCACCTCTTCCGCTGTTATCACCTTCCCTTTTCTTCAATGCTCACTCCCAACAGAAAATCTATGGCAAGAATATACTTTCCCCCCTTCCTTTTTCTTCGAGCCTCAACAAATGGGTCTGCAACCAATGCCAACTGAAATAATTGAGGCTAAGCAAGAGGAGTTGATAAAGTTAGCAATTCACAAACCAAATTGAAAATCTAATTCCAAAATTCCAAACACCCACCAAATGGTTTCGGATAAAGTTTTAAAGTTGAATACACGTTACCGATACATAAGGGTACATAAGAATGAGAAGTATGAAAATTTTAAAACAAAGGGCCAATCGTGCTCTTTGGCAAATTGCAATTTAAGTTTGGCTGCTTTTCAGTTTCACTCTACCATTAGATTTGTTCTTCTTTATGAGTAGACCTTCCAACCCAACATCCATCCACATATATAATTGTCCCTAGCTACACCAACACGAATCCAAAATCATATATATTGTCCAATGTAAACTAATTCTTAGCTAATTAACATGTTCAAATCCTTATTTTCTCATAATAAAATAACAGAAAATTAAACAACCCAAAAATCAAAACAACCCCACTTGTAGTTTTAGCTCATTAATCCATTGGATAAATTGATGCCAAATTCAATCATAAAACATACAATTAACAACAACCCAGAAGAGCCATCCAAAAAACCAACAAATTAACCAAAAAATACCACTTGTACTTTTAGCTTAGTCTTCCAATTGATTCAGATATACCATCAAATTTCAATCAGAAAATAGAAAATTAAGAACCCAGATTTTTCACTCACCTACTGTGAAACTCGTCCCTGTTGAGCAGCAGTAGGAACAAGTAAACTGGGTGATATATACAACCGATTAAAACACTCAAATTTAGCTGCTTCAGCTACATAACAGAAAAAGAAAAAAAAAGTTAATTTAACTATAATTAAGTAATCTGGTTTAAGATATATGCCTCATCCCCAACATTCATGCCAAAATCGATATGCAATTGTCAAACAACATGGGATTTTGGATGCAAGTTCCTACCTAAAGTCCTATCACTTTGGCATCCTTGGGTGTCACTAACATAAAGCCCAATATTAAATATTAACCCAAACAGGAAGCAAGAAGTAACTTTAACTAATAAATCGCAACCATCTGGAATTCATCAAAAGCTTGGAACTGCAAGAAAAATAATAATCAATAAATGGTTGTTATAAGCACATGAATAAGAATGCAGAGATTATAAAAAATAAGATAGAATCTCACACAGAAAGGATAAAACAACAAAGAATTAAAGCCAGAGAGATTTTGCGGTAAAATGCCCCAAGCGCAGCAGTTTTTTTGTGGGATTTTACTGAAAAACTTGTTCCTATGGAATTTCATGATCAGGGGATATGCTTGCAATGGATGTCCGTTCAAGTTTCTGGTTTTGTACCATGAAATACTTAGTTTTGGACAGAAAGCGAACAATGAGTTCATTCTCAAATCTGCACAACACAAACTGAAAATCTTGAACAGAAGAATATAAGGAAATCTCTCTCTCAGACAAATTACGTAGTGAGTCTATTGACCATTTAGTAAGGTTGAAATGCATACGCTTAGATGCATAATTCAAGTTGATTTGCACCATGTATAACTATTCATTCCCACATTTAGCCTAGAGGAATATACATGTAGCACAGAAAAATGAACCATGCCAGCACTGCAAATACTCGATCAAACGCAAAAGAAAACAGTATAAACTTGTACAGCAAGAATTTACTTTCTGACCCATAACTCAGCTTATATGCATCATATTACATACCTGTTTAGTAACTGCTTAAAAGGTGTATGGCCCTGTAAAACCTGCATCCAACACCACGCAATCAACAAAAAGGTAAAATTACATAAAAATAAGAGGTAAAAAGCACACAAATCTGGAGAAAAGAGTTAAAATTATAAAAATTTATGAAAACCCTCAACAAAAATATACCTGTAAAGGTGAAATCTTCACTCCTAAAAGTGAACTTAACTCAAGGGCTCTTTTGGATTCACTAATCCCACCTCCTATCACAACCAAAAAACCCAAAAATTTAAAACAATTAATTTTTTTAAAAAAAAAACAAAAATTTGGATTATACCAGGTGGAAAAATTACAAATTAGAAACTAACCATTTGTCAAGAACACGTATGGAATCCTGAGATTACCTGGCAAAAAAATTTAAAATTCCAGAAATTAATTCCCAGAAAGATAAAAAATTGGGAGATGGGTATAAGAAATGGGGGTACCAGAATCGTCGTACAATCTTCTGAAGGCCCGAGGAGAGCCTCCGATGGGAGCTTCGCTTCGTAAAACGACGCCGTCGATGTCGAACGCAATGCCGAAGGCATCCCTGATGAAATTAAAACTAATCAGGAGGATTAAACCCACTTGAATCTCGCCGTAGAACATCATCATTAAATTTATGAAAAATAAATAAATAAAGAGAGAGATTGATCGTACGGTGTGGACTGCGAGGAGAGTTGCGAGAATAAGCGTATGATGTTATGGGAGAAAGCGGATGATGGTTGGTCACGGTTTCGGCTCCGTCAAGCTTTTCTCTAGAGGGTAGGTTCAATAGTCGAGTACAGGCTCTGGTTCAACCCTGGAAATTCCTTCTCCGATTCCATCGAATCGCTAGATAGTTTTGGCTCGCTCTCAAAGCCCACACTTTGCCTGCGCAAAGCTAAATTTCGAGAATTCCTCTTCCCTGCATTCAGAAACACACCGTGATTTAATTTTAGATTTTAGAGAGAGCGAGAGAGGGAGTGGAGATGGTGTTGGGAGTGAGGGGGAAGGACGTGAAAGAATAGGAATTGAAATCGAGGTGCCGGCTTTGATCTGGTTGGTAGTTCGTAGAACGTGGAGGGTTGTTTGAATCCCACGTTTGCAATTCTCATTCCTTATCCTGCAACTTCCGCTTTGATGCTCTCTCTTCCAGTTATGGTTTTTTTACCACTTTGTCCTTCTTTTTTGAATTTTTGGGGTTTTGATTTTGAAAGAAACAAAGGGACAATTTTGGTATTTTGGAAAGCTTCACCATTCTAGGGCTCTCACTTTATATATATAGATAAAAATGTTGACATGACTATAATTTAGATATCCTAATTAAATTTCAAAATAGAACCAACAAGCACGCACAACACCTATGATGAAGGGCAAAATGGCCAATTTACTGCACAATCCCACTAAAGCCGAAAAACCATGAAGAAACTGAGGGACGAAACCAGAACGGCACTGTTAATGAACAGTGCCAATCCATCGACTTTTAGTATATATAGAATGTTTGATCTAAAGAGTAATAAGTGAAGGTGATTCTAATTTTCCGTTCATTTTTTCGTGTCACTTCACCGTCTTTGTACTAACTCAATGCATTGAAAAATCCCAACATTGTAAAGGCATCGAGGGTAGTTTGGACATTGCGAGTCTGGCACGCTCATATAATCGCGCTAACAAAGTGTTGAGCCCATACTTCCGAACTCAGTCTGACAGACAAAGATTGCCGCGAACTTGTCCCTCCGCTTCCAATGGCCGCCAGCAATCCGTCGCAGCTGCTCCCATCAGGTTTGACCACTCCTTTCCCTTTTCTAAATTCCCGTATTTTCTCGAGAAAATTACTCGGAAAATTTGAGGTGTTTTCCTGGAAACGGCGCAGAGTTGATCGACCGGTGCATAGGGTCGAAGATATGGGTGATAATGAAGGGAGACAAGGAGCTCGTAGGGACTCTGAGGGGTTTCGATGTCTACGTCAACATGGTACTGGAAGACGTCACCGAATAGTATGAATTTCACCTTTAATTATGTTCTTATGGAACCCTAAAATTGGGGGATTTTTACTGGATTGGTACAGGATTGAGTCTTTAGTTTTGTGAATGCTTTAACTGTTTGATTAATTGGTGGAAAGTTTAGAAAAAGGAGAAGAGAGTAGAAAGTTATGTATTGGGTCTAATATGGATATGGGATTTAGTGAGACAGAGGTATTTTTTACTGTCTTGGAAAATCTGAATTGGCTTTGTTAGTATTTATATTAGAAATTTGTTCATGGCAATCAGTTGATTGGAAGTCCGAATCGAGCACTTGCAATTGCAGTCGGTACAGATTATCGAGCTTCAATAATCTGCTAGTAAAATGTCAAGCACCCCAATACTCCAAAAACTTGTCTATTTTAATCTCGAAGGATGCTGGACAGCCTCTAGAGCTTTGAATCTTAGTTATATACAATGGGAACTAGGGTTTTTAATTCTGAAAGGTTAGATTTGATTGGTGGTAAAGCACATTGTGGATGGTTGAATGCATCCTCGTTTATGTATTAGAATTTTACTGGTTATCTATTTTTTTTTTCCTTATGATTTTTCTTATCTGGATACCAAAATACTTGGATTGGTTTTTATATGGAACAGTTGACACATCAAATTATACTAGATTGAGAAAGCTGGCAAAGTCATGGAATTGCTTAAGCTTAGTTTTAGGACATTTCTTAGTTAGACTATGTTGAATACAAGTTGTTTTCATAAGGTAGATAGAGTCCTGTGTGAGGCTCCTATAGCAAGAGTGATTTCATATGGACACTGAGTGTGATGCGTAAAATTGCAATTAAAAATATGATCGATGAAGAAACTAAGCAATAGAAAGGCATACTTCTTTCTCCGCCAGCCTCCTTTTTTCTGTGCACTATTGATTTTCACTGGTCATATCAATGTACTGTAATGTTTTGGGATCAAAAGAGAAACTGGACTAGGATATCTCCGGCGACAATACTTACATGTTTGTTTCACAATTACCATATGACGGTCATAGATAATTCATATGAATGTAAGTATTTAATACAATCATCATCTGACCATTGAGATGGTGATTGTATTAAATACTTGAAAGTATTGTAGCCAAATCCATTGGTTTATGTTAGCCATTAATTATGTTCATTCACTCTATTTACTATATGGTTTTCCACGTTTGTGATCTATTATGCATGCTAATATGGAGGGCCTTTGCTATTTTATTTGGATGTACAGTGAGATTACTCCCGAAGGAAGACGTATAACCAAGCTTGATCAGATTTTACTCAATGGAAACAATATTGCCATTGTAAGTAAAACATGGGTGGTCTTTATTTTGCCTGGATGAAATAATTGAATTTCCAGTGAATATGCATGCGATTGTTAGGTTTTCTTTGTCAAGTATAGTACTGCACCTTTTGTGGCCTTTTTCTTTGCTCGCCTTATATTTGACAACTTAATCTTTAAACTACTTGCACAAGCTTATGGCATCTACTTCTTGGCCTTTTCAATAGAAGCTAGACCCAGCATAAAACAGAGATGAAAGATGTTCAAACTTTTGTAATAAATTGTCTAATGGTTTGTGCACAATGCAGCTGGTCCCTGGCGGCTCACCTGAAGCGGAATGAGAGGGTAACTAGCCACCCTGCTATTGAATATTTAAACTACATGTGGTTGGGGGGAGATTGTTTCTCTTTTTTTTGTCCACCCGGCACTCTTGTTAGTAGGAAGCGACGTGGTTCTAGGACATATTAAGGATATGGTGTATTATGTTTCTTCTAATTCGGAGTTGTGTTGATTTTTCATATACATTGACAGGCTGATCTTTATTATTGTTCACAAGGCATATTTGTCGATTTGCCTCCTGTACTTGTATGGAGCTGTCAATCTCCTCCTTGAAACTTTAATTTTAGCTGATTACCCACTCGAACTTTATAATTAGCCAATTTTCCCATTGTACTTTCATTTTAGCCGATTATCCCCCTGAATTTTTATAAATAGACAATTCCCCCCTTGGCGTTAGATTTTGAAAAATTTCATCCAATTTTCCATCTATCTTGATCACGGAAACAACTATACGAGGGCAAAAAGAATGGAAAAAAATGGATGGATGAAAAATTGAATAAAAGTTTTTAAAATCTAACGCCAAGGGGGAAATTGGCTAATCATAAAAGTTTAGGGGATAATTGGCTAAAATTAAAGTTCAAGGGGAAATTGGCTAATTAAAAAAGTTCAAGGGGCAATTAGCTAAAATTAAAGTTCAAATGGGAAATTCGCAGTTCTATACAAGTTCAGGTGTAAAATCAAGAAATACCTCTTGTTCACAAATGTAATGGAAGTTAAGAGTTTCTGTTGCTGACCCAATTTGTGCAGTTTTCTGATAATTTCATGTCTTTCGGTTTAGGGAAACTCTCTTGATTCTTTCCTTCTAATCCATCAAGTCTAAGGATTCAGGTTGATGAAATTTGATTCAACGGTTACAAATAGAGGCTCACTTTAAAAGTTATAATAACCTTAGCTACTAGATCAAATTTCAACGATTCAGATCCTCGAACTTGATGAATTAGGAGGAAAAGATCTGAAGAGGATCTCTTTCCAGAAATCACGAAGCCATAGCACTCCTGCCTGCTACTTTGACTGCCGCTGTGGCAAGCCACCGGTCATGACACTCACGCCACCTAAAAAATTAGAAAATTAAAAGCAGAAGTTTCGATATGCAGCCGGTTTCTGTTTCTATGTGACTGAAGTACCATAAGGGACCAAGCCCAAGTATTCACTCATTGATAAAGACAGAAAAGAGGTCAAAATTGATGTTTAAAATGAGAAAGTCGTGGAAAAGCTGGCATGTGTTTTGCCAAATAGAATTGAACGAAAGCGACAATCAATAATTTTTGCTTGTTCTGTACGCAAGAGAAAATAAATAACTTTTTAGTTAATGAGAGTGAAATAGTTTTTAGTAGTGGAGAAACTTTTACATGTATTAGAAATATTATTGGATGCACCATTTCATGTGTTATGTTATGGGTATTGAGTTGTAAGAATTTAGGTAATACTTTCAAAGGTTTAATTTAGGCTATCATAAAAAATCGCAGTAATTCTCTAACTCTAAGAAGTAGTTCCTTTAGAATTAATGAACAACAACCATTACTTAGGTATAATGTTAAACATATACATAATACATGTGCTATGATTTAAATGAAAAATAATAGGATGTTGCGGCGTTATAGACACACCTATTTGAATTTACTATACATATGTCGGTTTGTTGACTTTCTAACGGAGTATGATTCTCTCCCCATTTTTTTTCCCTCCCCTCCCTTTCCCTCCTATTTGAATGATTACGGTTAAGCTACGTTAACATATTATATTAATTTTATATAGAAAGAGAAATACAAAATAGAGAATGTGAGAGGAGAGGAGGGAAGGAGATGGAAAGAGAATGAGAGATAATCTTAGTCCCTTTCTAACCTTAATTTTCTAATGTCAAATATTCGCCTGCCAATTCACTTTCCAAAAATTGGATTTTGTGGTTCTCTTGGTATTATTGATCCTTGGAACATCAACCAACCAATTCTCAAGTTATTACAATCAATATTACCACAACAGTGAAAATAATTTTATACCTTTCTTATTATTGAACATAGATTTATACTTTTTTAATTATTGAAAATATATTTATACCTTTTTTCATTATTGAAAATGATTGGATCCTCTTTGTAAGCGTGAATTTAGTCAAAAAACGAAAATAAATTGTCAAGCTCCCGTCCAGTGTTACGGTCTTGATTTAAATTGTGAAAATGGCTTAACTGTGAAATTCCCGATTCATGAAAATTGCTATGAATCTAATTACAAAATTCAATAAAGCAGAGAAATACACCAAATTCATTAAATTATATATATTGAGGTCAAAGAACCACTTCAAGGAAGTAAATATAAAATTCGTAGCAAAATACACTTTTGCATGTTTATAATTGTACGTACAACTGAGACACAACTCCTCGTACATTAACTATAATGTCGTCTGCAAGAGAAATTATGGTGGGATAGGGTAAACGTGGCTGCTGATGATCATAATCTTCTTGGCGCTGGATGCTTTGGCCTTGTCGCCGTCGTCGGCCAAGACTCCTGCAGAAGGGGAAGCAGCAGGAGAACTAGTAGGGCCTGGAAGTAGAGACCGGAAGCATTGGAGAATATTGTCGAGAATCAAGCTTTTAACAGATCTTCTCTTCGCTGGAACCACACCCCCAGGCTTTGGTTTGAGGCAATATGACTTCCCTTCTCCTGAATTTATCTTCTTTTCCATCTCTCTCTCTCTCTCTCTCTCTCTCTCTCTTCACAGTGTGTTGTGATAATTTGTTTCTGAGTATAATTCCGGATGGGTTTAAATAGAAAAAACAATGTTACTGCGGTTGTGGGAAGGAATCATAAAAAACTAGAAAGGAAAATGCAGATAAACTGAACTAACAAAACGACTAACTACTTTCGTGCCGACATATCCCTATCAATATCGGCATAATAAGTCAAATAAATCACATCAATTTGACTTAGAGAATCTCGAATGAGCTCCTTAAATGAGCATATATCTAATATTTAGGTAGAATTAAAAAAATCAACTCCAATCATGCTCCCTATTCAAGATAGGGATTCATTTAGGAGCTCATAGTGGTTCTCTATAGTTAAAATTAACTGTTTTAATATTATTTTAGATAAATAATTAATTTTTATAGGCTAATTATTAAGTCATAGTCATTATAGCTCTCTAAAGTAGAGATCATGATTAGAGTAAAGAGCTTCTAAAATAAGTTTTAGATTGTTTTAGCTAAAATTTTGTTACAAAAACACTTTCATTCATTTTAAAAATATTTCCAAACGAGCTCTTAGAGTATTCACTGTTCAGATTATCATCAAATGGGGTTATAATTCACCTAAATTAATTATACTAAATGCCTATGCATTTTATTAATATATTCCAAAAGTACGATGTATCAATATTTATAAAAATACACCACATGACAAGTATTACAGTTCCAACGGCACAAAAAATTTATGTTCCTATCCAATTTAAAGACAGAAAAGGTCTGCCAAGAATTCAATACGTAGGTTTTGCACTTCCATGCACCTTCCATTTTTATAATACGCATAGTATTTTGTTAAGAATTCAATTTGTTGGTATAATACGCATGTTTATGCTGAGAAGCATGACTCAACCGTTCACTATAGTATGCATAATACGCATATATATAATTACGACCCCATGAGTAATAATTACTCGGGCATGGACTTGGAAGCTTCCTCTTTAAATGGGCTTGAAACTTGAAAGCTTCCTCTTTGCCATATAAAACACGTTTTCTATTGTTCTTCCTAGAGTGTAAAACACGGCCAATCTGTCATTTAACAGCATGCTACAACTGGTTTGCCTCATAGATTTGATCGATTCAAATGTGTGCGTCACCTTATTTAACAGCATGCTACAAGTGGTTTGCCTCATAGATTTGATCGATTCAAATGTGTGCGTCGCCTTATCACCCCTTGTGATTATTGTATTTTTATCATACAAATTTTAGTATTTTTGTTTATTTTCTTAATTATTGTTTAAAGATTGTCTATACAAAAATCAACCAAAAGAATTCTTTAGCCACATATATGTGTCGAATAAATAAATGGTATCGGTATCAAGTAACATATTTATGGTGAACCGTTCATTTATTAAATAATTATGTAAATGATTGAACGTTCTCTAATTTGATTGATTTTTTTAAAAGATAATCTTTACGTAATGAAATTTGTATAGTAGTGTACTAATACGTTATTTGTAAAGAATTAACAAAAGGTGGTGCACCCCCAAATTGATTCAAATTCCCTTGTTCCCTTGTTTTCATTTTTTTTAATAATTTTCATCTAATTAAAGCACCCACAACAAAAAGGATAAAAAAAAAAAACATTCTGTACTTTAAACTGTTGTAGAAAGTACATCAATTCAGCAACTTATGTTCCTTAATAATGTTACCCCAACAACAACAACAACAACAACAACAACAACAATAATAATAATAATAATAATAACAACAACTAGCAAAAGTGACACACTTTGTGTGGTGAGATATATATTTTTTAAGTAACGTTAGAGAAATTAAATTTGTAAATAAAGTTTTGAAAATTAAAGGACATAAAAGTTGATGATTGATTTATTACTTACATGTTGATGAACGTGCTTATTCTTATTGGTGATACATCATTTAGTTTGCAAATTTAGTCTTCCTAGCATTACCCATATATTTTTTATATTTTTTAAAAATTGGAAAGAGGACCTCTTCTACCAAGGCCACCAGATCAAGTGATCCGAGCATTTGAAATTTCATCTAACGACCCACCTGTTTTGGTCCCTTAAAAGCTATAATAATTTTTTGCCGTTGGGTGAAATTTCAAAGGCTCGGATCACTTGAATTGGTAGCCTTGGTGGAAAAGATTTGGAGATGATCTCTTTCCTTAAATATTTGTATTTTAATTTTTTTTATGAGAGGAGTTATTTGTTTTTAAAAGGTTGGCAAACATCACAAAAAAATAGGGGTTGACAGATAGGAGGGAGAGAGAATGAGTTGAGACGGTATTGATAAAGTAACATGTGAGTTTTAGAAAAAAAATAGAAAAGCTTGTTTGTACAAAATTACTTTAATGGCCACATTGTTTTCTTTTCTATTATCTTCTTTCAGTTTTGTATTAAAAGGGTATACAAGTAAATTTGATTAGTTTTTAGTTGACAAACAATATTTTATTAACATCTAGTTTAGATAACAACAACAACAACAATGACAACAATAGCAATAGTAATAATAATAATGTTCCTTAAGCAACGCTCTCTAGGTTTAACA